ACTCGAAATGGAAGTAATCCCAACAATTATGAAACAAGAGATTCCTCGAAACCCAACTTTTCTTCGTATTGTTTTTTATTACCTATTTTATATATTGTCTTAAATAAGGAAAAACTTTTCTATTTCTCATACATTTTTGCATTTGTTAGTTATATGAAAAATAGAGAGCAGCCTCCTCTACGCTCACGCAGTGGTAGTGCCATGGCCGGCACCATTTTCCGACCGACCCCGAACATGTCGGCGGTCAATTTCGGCCTGGCCACTCCGACTCGGCGTCGGATGAGCGGCTTCATTGCCGGCAACCATCCGTCGCTGTACGCCCAGTCTCTGCTATGTGGCCAACTGGCCGGCGGTGCTGCCAATTCCGTCGGCGTTTCCAACGCCTCTGCCTATCCCGGCTGGCCCTTTGCTGCCGCCGACTTGGGCGCTTCGGCGACGCCAATTTGTCTGAACAACGCTGGCGCTTTCTTGGCTCCCGTCGGCCTCGACGGCATGGCCGGCATGCCGCGGCGTCGTGATTGGCTGGCCACCGGCTCGCCGTTCGCCTCGCCCGGGCCACATTCGCCGTTCGCCTCTTGGCAAACGTCGCCACGCAACAGCCTCTTCTCCTCCAACACGGTGCTGGCGGCGATGGAGGCTGCGCGACAGGCGGCTGTCAATGCCACGCTGATGAACTATGCCGCTGTTGCGGCGGCGGCGGCGGCTGCAAATGAAGACGGTCTCTTCGCCAATTCGCACTGGATGAACTCAATGTCTACGCCCGGCGGAGACAAAGAAACGATGGCAACGTCAGATTGTCTGGCCGAAGAGGAGTTGGGCCCTGCGCGAGAGGAAGAGGCGAGCAGTAAAGGCGAACCGGTTCGTCGGGACGAAAGCACGCCTGGACGAGAAAATGAAGAGTCTGCGTCCAATATGGACTCAGCTGAAACCAGTCGAGGGCCCCATAAGAAGGAGGAAAAAGCGAAAAATTCGACAAATAATCTTGAATATGGCCACCTCGATGATATTTCGGTAGGAGTTTCTCCTTGTGAGAGCTTTCCATTTGCCACATCATGTCTAAACGAGCGTTCACAAATGGACATCTTTCTTCTGTAGTTCGTGGTGCGGAATAGGAGAGCATTATTGTTGGATTACCAAGTGCCCGAAGGTTAGCATAAAATCAAAATGGGCTCATCGGACCTGGAGCCGATTCGACATTCATAACTCCAGGTCTTTCTTACTTCGATTTGACTCAACTTTTCAGCTGGAATGCAGACTAAATGACTGTCAATTTTGATTCATTTTCACATTTTTTTTTAACCAGATCTCGCTAGTAATCAACTGCAATCAAATCACACAATCTTCCGACTAGTGCTCAGGGCCAAGTGATAGAGATGAGTGTAGATATGTAGACTTTTTTGTTGATTGCAGTATCCTTTCACAGCATAGAAACGGTCTGATCTCGTTTTCATGAACTGGTCGAAGAATCTACCCTGCACTGTTAAAACGAGTTTTTCAAGTTCGAAATATTGGTACAAGTGCCAAGTCAATGATACTTTGCTGCAACAAATCCCGCCTACTGTGGTAGAAGACAAAGACACCACTACCATGTCGCTAACATGAGGTCAGGTCATTTTCAACCATCTTTCTTTTACTGCATTGACAGGATAGGAAATCGCCCTCTTAATGCCATCCATTCCTGATTTGAGTAGTACCATTTACGTCTCATCACCAGCTCAGCCGATTTCCAGCTCCGATGGGAAAATAACTTCATCTCGGAAAGCCGTTGGTGAGAGGTCATTTTAAGCGATTCACTACAAATGATTTGTTTCAAGATCTCTTTGTTTTCTTGACACGACTTTCCATTTCGGAAAAAAAAGTTGGTTGGAAGGCATTTGGAAATTGGTCTCACCGGAAGCCGAAAAATGATTGCCGTGGAGGAAAGACTGTTGGATCGCGCAAAAGGCACCCACTCCCTGTGAGCTCGTGCTAAGCCTAACAACTAACACGCTTTCCTCGTCACCATGGCGACCACCTTTTGCACTAGGTGGTCCAGGCGTACTGTGTGCTGACTACTTTTTGATGCTTGAAGTCAGTGAACCATGCCAGAAGCTGTGATTTTACTGGTCATTTGAACCAGAATTTATTTATTCATACTATGGCCAATATGCACCACTTTAAATATGTCTAATCTAATATATGAAGTGTATTCACCCTATTTCGTTTAAGATGATGAAATACTGAAAGTTCAATTTTCCCACAATCATATGAGTACACCTTACGTTTCCATTGAATTTCACATAGCCTTGCTTCCAAAAAGCCATTCTCAAACGGGCTAAAGTGGACCTCAGGTTCGACTACGTCTGAATTGACCTCATCGTCACCACCAACGGGACTCAAACCATGACGGTGCAGCGTATAACCTTGACATGCTTACAACTACGCCCCACTGCCACGAGTGCACTTGGGTCATGGGACAAATGTGAATTTCAAGGAAAACCAGACATTTGCCAATATCACACTCCGTGGTGGGATTGTCGATGAACCAAATTTGCATTTGCCATAGCAATTGACAACATTACTTATTTTTCCCTTAAAGGCGGGCTTTCGATATGTGTTGATAAGACTTAGTCGAGGTCGAAACTGCAGTCCTCTCCGGCCTGAATGAGAATCTCTCCTGGGAAAGCAATGATATGTGAAATTCAATGAAAACGTTAGATCTACTCTTATGATTGTGGGAAAATGCAACTACCAATCTCCTTATCACCCTAAACGAAATAGAGTGAATATACTTCATATATATAAATGATATACTGGTAGCCTCTAAAACCTACTTATAAACGAAAAATGTC